GCAATAAGGCACTAAAGTAAAACTGCAAAAAATGTGGCAAAGAAATTAACTTTATTTCCTGAATACAAAGCGTTATGTTTGGGGCAAATCCAACACAACACATCATTGAGTACCACTCTTCATGTTTTCAAGCATGGTGGTGGCTGCATCACGTTATGGGTATGCTTGTCATCAGCAAGGACTAAGGATTAAAAAAATGGAATAGAGCTAAGCACAGGCAAAATCCTAGAGGAAAAACTGGTTCACTCTGCTTTCCAACAGATACTGGGAGACAACCTCACCTTTCAGCAGGATAATAACCTAAAACAGGCCAAATACAATAAGTGTACAAAACATTAGGAACACCTTCCTAATATTGAGTTGCACCCCCTTTTGCCCTCAGAACAGCCTCAATTCGTGGGGGCATAGACTACAAGATGTTGAAAGTGTTCCACAGAGATGCTGGCCCATGTTGACTCCAACGCTTCCCATAGTTGCGTCAAGTTGGCTGGATGTCCTTTGGGTGGTGGACCATTCTTGATACACATCGGAAACTGTTGAGCGTAAAAAACCCAGCAGTGTTGCAGTTCTTGACACACTCAAACCGCTGCGCCTGGCACCTACTACCATACCCCGTTCAAAGGCACTTAAATATTTTGTCTTGCCCATTTACCCTCTGAATGGCACACATACACAATCCATGTTCAAGGCTTAAAAATCCTTCTTTAACCTGTCTCCTCCCATTCATCTACACTGATTGCAGTGGATTTAACAAGTGACATCAATAAGGGATCATAGCTTTCACCTAGGTGTTCCTAATGTCTTGTACACTCAGTGTATACACTGGAGTTGCTTACTAAAACAATATTGAATGTTCTTGAGTGGCCTAGTTACAGTTTTGACATAAATCGGCTTAAATCTATGGCAAGACTTGAAAATGGCTGTCTAGCAATGATCAACAACCAACTTGACAATGCTTGAAGAATTTAAAAAATAATAATGCTCACATTTTGTACAATCCAGGTGTGCAAAGCTCTTAGAGACTTACCCAGAAAGACTCACAGCTGTAATCACTGCCAAAGGTGATTCTAACATTTATTGACTCAGGGGTGTGAAAAAAAATCTGTTTAATCCCTTTTAAATTCAGGCTGTAACACAAGAAAATGTGGAATAAGTCAAGGGGTATGAATACTTTCTGAAGGCACTGTAATTTCTACCAGCATGTCACGTGCAACTAGAGGCGAAAAAACTCTAGATCACCTTTACTCCACACACAGAAACGCATACAAAGCTCTCCCTCGCCCTTGATTTGGCAAATCTGACCATAACTCTATCCTCCTGATTCCTGCTTACAAGCAAAAACTCAAACAGGAAGTACCAGTGACCTGCTCAATACGGAAGTGGTCCGATGAAGCGGATGCTAAGCTACAGGACAGTTTCGCTAGCGCAGATTGGAATATGTTCAGGGATTCATCCGATGGCATTGAGGAGTTTTCCACATCAGTCACCGGCTTCATTAATAAGTGCATCGACTACGTCATACCCAGAGTGACCGCACGCACATAACCCAACCGGAAGCCATGTATTATGCGCAACATCCGCACTGAGCTAAAGGCTAGAGCTGGAGACTAATCCGCACGCTTATAAAACATCCTGCTACGCCCTCTGATGCTGGTCGGATGTGGCAGGGCTTGCAAACTATCACGGATGACAAAGGGAAACTCAGCCACGAGCTGCCCAGTGACGCGAGCCTACCAGATGAGCTAAATGCTTTCTATGCTCGCTTCGAGGCAAGCAACACTGAACCATGCATGAGAGCACCAGCTTTCCTGGATGACTGTGTGATCACGCTCTCCGTAGTGGATGTGAATAAGACCTTTAAACAGGTTAACATTCACAAGGCCGCAGGGCCAGACGGATTGCCATTACACATACTCAGAGCATGCACTGACCAGCTGGCAAGTGACATCACTGCACATTTTCAACTTCTCCCTGACTCAGTCTGTAATACCTACATGTTTCAAGCAGACCACCATAGTCCCTGTGCCCAAGACGCCAAGTTAACCTGTCTAAATGACTATCGCCCTGTAGCACTCACATTTGTAGCCATGAAATGCCTTGAAAGGCTGGTCAAGGCTCACATCAACACAATCATCGCAGACACCGGGGACCCACTACAATTCGCATAACGCCCAACAGATCCACAGATTATGCAATCTCTATTGCACTCTACCACTGCCCTTTCCCACCTGGACATGAGGAACACCTATGTGAGAATGCTGTTCATTGACTACAGCTCAGCGTAGTGGCTGTAGTGGAGCGGGTCGAGAGCATCAAGTTTCTCTGTGTCCACATCACTAAGGATCTATCATGGTCCACACACACCAGCACATCCGTGAAGAGGCCACGACAACGCCTCTGCCACCTCAGTTGGCTGAAAAGATTTGGCATGAGCCCTCAGATCCTCAAAAAGTTATACAGCTGCACCATCGAGAGCATCTTGACTGGCTGCATCCCCGCTTGGTATGGCAACTGCTTGGCATCTGACCGCAAGGCGCTACAGAGGGTAGTGCGAACAGGCAGAGCTCCCTGCCATCCAGGACCTCTATACCAGGCAGTGTCAGAAGGCCGTAAAAACTGTCAGACTTCAGCCACCCAAAGACTGTTCTCTCTGCTACCGCACGGCAAGTCTGGAACCAACAGGACCCTGAACAGGTTCTACCCCCAAGCCCGAAGACTGCTAAATAGTTCATTAAATAGGTAACCAAATAACTATCCAGATTATCTGCATTTAACCTTTTTGCACTAACTTGATCTCATCACATACACTGCTGCTACTGTTTTATCTGTCACTTTATTCCTAGTCATATATACATATCTACCTGAATTACCTCATGCCCCTGCACATGGACCCAGTACTGGTACCCTGTGTATATAGCCAAGTTAGTGTTACTCATTGTGTATTTATTATTATTTGTTTTACTATTTTCTTTCTCTCTGCATTGTTGGGAAGGGCCCGTAAGCATTTCAGTGTTAGTCTACACCTGTTGTTTACGAACATGTGACGAATACAATTATTTGACATACACTCACCAAGAGCCACTCGCATTCTTCTCTGCAGCCTTCATTCTAAATATGACCACATAGTTACACAGCATACCCATGCATCCGTACACGTGAATGTACCAACTCATTATTTTGAGGCAATTCACCTCTTCTAATTCATTCTTATTTAGGATCACTGCCGGCAACGACAATAATGTCACAAGTATTTATGGCGACCACATGGTCCATCTCAAAGACAGAGCACAACCAGGTATTTATAAATCACTTTGCTTTATTTAAATCAGCGGTAGGCAGTTATGCTATGAACAAAAACTAAAAGAAAATGAAAAATAAGAAAACAAATAAGATCCAGCTACAATAACTGCACTTGGCACTGGATGACCGTTTTGTCAAAAAAGAAAATTATACATATATATTGTGTAAGTGCCTCCAATATACATATGAAAACCCAAAAAGGAAAACCTTAAATACCAGCTTTTATGTGGTCTCCATGTCTACTGACAACCAAATTCTTATTCATATTACAAATGTTCAACACCCCCCAACAAATCCCCACCCCCAATAACCCCTGACCTCAAAATGAATCTTCACTGGAGCTGAGAATAGGGAGAGTTCCTACTGGTCTCAGAATGACTTCCTCTAAACAGGTTACGGTTCAGTATGCCCTTAACAACTGGTCCTAGGTCTGATGTATTGTTTAGCTCACAATGGTTAAGGATAGGCTTGGGATAGAGATCTTAGACTTGTTGTTGAGGGCAGAATGTAACCCAGACCTTAAAAACCGAATTACTCGTGTGTCCAACAGCCATGATGAGGACGACACATCCTCACTCTTTACGAGAAAACACGGGAGTAATGCACTGCAAAGAAATACACACAAACGTACAAATAACAAGTCCAACAAAACGAAAGGCAAAATCTCTTCTCCTCCAAAAAGAAAGCGCATCAGCAAAATGAATGTGAACACAAAATGTGACTTCAAAGAAAAGGCTGAGGAGTCCTCATTGGAATTGAATAAATGGCAAATATTTTGCCATCAGTGGAATGAAATGCCTTTTTTATCGTGAGGGAAGGCCAACCGTTTCCTTTTGTCACCATCACATGATGGCAACAGACTGTTTGGATATGGGAGTCGGACAAGTGGGCAGGTGAACCCTGTGAGAAGGAGATACATGCCCCAAAAACCACCTGCCCTCTAACCCACCATCACCCCCTGACCTCCTCCCAACGTTAAAACAACCTTAAATTAACCTCAGGGATAAACAGAGCGTGTACCCATTCGTTATGAGGGCCTCAAGAGGAGCAAGCAATCACCCTGACAATTAAGACTGGACAAAAGACTAAGATAGGCGGAGGGGTGGATTTAAAAAAGGGCAGCTTGCCTTTGATGGGGGCCCCTTGTGTACCCTGTGCCCACAACACAGCGCAATCCGATACCCCCTCTATAAATGAATCCCTAATAATAATTGACTTCATCTTAATGATCATTGGGATCGTGTTTTGACCGAATAAGTTGGGTAACATGATTGAAACTATTCCCAGGAGATGACTTGTTAGCTCCTCATCCATCTCCTCCCACCTCCCCAACCCCATTCGTCCCTCCCTCCCTTCCGTCCGTCCCTACATGCCCTTGGAGAGGGTGAGTGAGCAAATCTGGGACAGAGGTGGTAAAAACAGATGATCGCGTCGAGAAGAAGAAGAGGTGAGCGATAGATGGATATCAAGTGGAGGACGTGGCAGAGAAGGAGGGACGGGAGAGAAAGCCAAGGCAGCGTCCCAAATGGCACCCTATTCCCTAGATAGTGCACTACTTTTAATCCCTAGATAGTGCACTACCCTATGGGGTCTGGTCAAAAGTAATGCACTAAGGGAATAGGGTGCCATTTCAGACTTAGCCCAGACACGTGCATCTTGGAGGGGGTTTATCTGACGGTGACGCCCAGCTTCTCCAGGACACGAATCCCCTTCTCCTGGTACTCCTCCCTCGTCAGCCAGAAGTTGTCCTTGTCCTTCATGATGTCGGCCAGCACGGCCCCGCCCAGGAACACCATGTGCTTGCGCCGAGGGGGGTCCTCGATCCGGATCTTGAATTTCTGCACACGAGCAGGGAAGGAGAGCCAGAATAGAAGATGAGGAGGGAAGAGTATGACAAGGGAGAGCAAGAGCACAGAGGGGGAAGAGGGAAATAGAAGACAAAAGGAAAGGGGCAGAGACAGAGAAGAAGAGTGGGAGGAGAAGGAAAAATGTCTGTTAGTCTGTTAACAACCTTAGCTAAAAATAGGTGTGAAATCGTCTAATAATTACAGGTTAGAGTAAAAGGCTGTCTCCATGAACTCAACCAGCAGGCATTGAAAATTCTGAAATGGATATTGTTGCCAAATTGAGCAATCAGTGTGTAAAGGAATGAGTGAGGAACAATGAGACATTATATTTTAATTTCGTTGTCAAGCGCATGATTTAAACATGGTCCCATGACAAAGACAGTTCACTCTGTGTTGAAGAAGCACATTGCTTGTGTTGTGTACACAAATTCAATTTAGGGCTACACCGCCTCCTGGTGGCCGATCAAATGACTGCAGTGAGAAAATAGATAGTAAAATGTCTGTTAGTAGTTGTCCATCTGTTAAAAGCCAAACATTGGACAGTAAAACCGGCACTAAAAACAGCAACAATAAAATATGACATGTACTTAAAGCATGCTACTTAAAAAGTAAATCTATAAAATGGCACTCTGTGTGTGTGTCCTCACCGAGAGCTTATCCACGTCTCCCTTCAGCACGCGCTCCAGGTAGAGCTGCTTGAGCTCCCGCTCCAGTCGAGAGGGAAGGCCAGGGTACATGGTGGAGCCCCCCGACAGCACTATGTGTTTGTAGAACTCAGACCTGTGGAGAGAAGGAGAAGACGTTTAGGGAGGAGAGGAAGACATGGAGGAAGGAAGAGGAATGGAGAGAAATCACTTCAGGTGAATAAGAATGGTGACATGGAGAGAGAGGAAAGAGAGAACATTCTGCCACAATGTGTTTGTAGAATTCAGCCCTGAGGAGAAGTGAGGATGTTTAGGGAAGAGAAGGGCTGTAGAGAATAGAAGGCCAAAAATACAATATGGAGAAAGATTGTGATAATTAATCTAGGACTGACCCCATTTAGTCGACTGTTTGGTCGATAGGCTGTTGGTCATCCGAGATTTCTTAAGTCGAGCAGTAGCAAAAAATAATAAACCATGGTGTACGAGACACCTGTCTGATTCGTGCCTGTGAGTAAACTGATCCATTGTGGAGGCTGTGGGGATGGCACAGTCCATCAGTCTAAGACATGTGCTACTGAAATTGTATATGTTTATATTACATAAGAACAATGGTGCAACACTAATACAAATAATAATTTTATAACCAATGCGCTTCCTCCCTTGTTGGATAGTGGTCGCTGTCCACGGTTCTGAAACACATCAGTGCGCTGTTGAATTGGCACCTTTTCCTAGGCCATGTTTCTATTTGCATAATAGCAAAGTTAACCAGCATATTGGTGTTGAGAACAATTGCGGCGGAGGCAGCAGCGGAGTTAGGAGATGAGAAAACAGCACTTGCCATGTCTAAGAAAAGTGAGGAGAGAGGAAACCAACTTAATTAGGTGTATAATCAATAGCCTAACTGTTGAATGTGCATGGCTTTATTAATCATCCATATATATCGCTACAAAAATAAGACAGATCCTACTTCTATTGCCTGTTTGAGTGTTTATTTAATAGCCTACTGATTCTGTGAGCACCAAGCCTCATGCAACCACATGTCGGATAAACAATTTCACAAATTCGGCTGTTTTTAAATCTTTGCTATGCTGTAATAAAGGCTTACACTTTTTTTCATTAGACCAGCCTCTATTATTTATAATTGATTTAGTGTTTACACCTTTCCAAATTGTCAGAAAAGTATATTATAATAACCCTCCTTTTTCCTTGATCTCCTTAATGTTATTAATATTATGATCATCATTATAATAATAAGTAATGTCATTGTCATAAGTATAGCAGCCTTGAATAACCATCATCAAGCTGTAGGCCAAAGAGATGGTCTTAATACCGTAACTTACTTAGGCCTATATTTCAATACTTATATAGGCTACTGTATCAATCAATAATGTATTAGTTAATGTCATCACACAGCATACGAGTCATTCATGATTTGATATGCAATCAAGCATTTTAGTTAAAATAAAATAAAGCGACTATTGAATAATTAGCGTAACAATAAATAGGCCTAAACCGTTCCATTTCAGAAATTGCATTCAGGAATGAATGCTGTTTTTAATCTTTGCTGTAATAAAGGCTTTACAAAAAAACATTACAACAGCCTCTCTGGTACGCTTATAATTTATTTCGTGTTTTTTACATTGTTCCAAAACGGTCAGAAAAATTATATTGTAATCTAACAGCACCTGTTTGGCACACATAATATGCACGTAGCGCTTGCTCCTTACCTTATTTTTCTTAATCTCCAGTATTTTCCACAACTAGTCAAATTGATTCCACACATCTGACTTCCCCTTTACCTCCTGAGCAACCAGTAAACATTCCCCCGTTTCGAGTTTGTCACGTCCTCCGCATTCCATTCTGCTGTCACGTGTTCAGAGTTTGTTATAACCAATTTATTGATGTGATTATGATATGCTATAGGTCTGGCCCTATTGGTCACGTGCATGAGATGCATACGTGTCATGTAACGAGAGCAAGGGTTGAGGGAATAGGGAATGTTTTTACTAAACAAATTAGGGATTTTTTTAACACAGCGCAGCAAGTCTGAGCCACAATCAAATAAATTGCGGTCGGACTCTGTCTAGTCATTTGTCTTAATGATTTCATCAAACAGTTCACTTAAAGCATCTGACAAGCTCAGTGCATACAGTGCATTCGGGAAGTATTCAGACCCCTTGACTTTTTCCACATTTTGTTACGTTACAGCCTTATTCTAAAATCGATTAAATAGTTTTTTTCCTCATCAATCTTCACACAATATCCAATAATGACTAATCAAAAACAGGTTTTAGACATTTTGCTAAAAAAAAAAAATAATTTTACACCCGAAATATCACATTTACATAAGTATTCAGACACTTTACTCAGTACTTTGTTGAAGCACCTTTGGCAGCGACTACAACCTCGAGTCTTCTTGGGTATGACGCTACAAGCTTGGCACACCTGATTTGGGGAGTTTCTCCCATTCTTCTCTGCAAACCCTCTCAAGCCTCTCAAATCCTGAATACTTTCCGAATGCACTGTATAGTTGATTTGATTATAACACATAGGATGTGTTTATATATGGAAAAATACACGTTTAAACATTTCGATCGATTGATAGGTCGACCAAGACAACTTTTTTAGTCGGGGACAGCCCTAATTCCATCATAGCACTGCTAGGGTTTTGCCTATGCAGTTCTACACCATCACACTGCTCAAGAGCATCCACTCAATGACTAGAACGTGAACTAATGAAATGGCAAAGGGAGATAGAGGAAGTGAAAAGGAAAGGAGAGAGGATTGGAAATTACTAGGTCACTAGTAAGTAGGGGGAGTCTGTCATGGAGTTACCTGGTGTCGATGTCTGCTGCATTGATGGTGTTGAAGAGGAGCTCTGCCACCCCGACTCCCTCCACATTGATGAGGTGGGGCTGGAAAAGAGCCTCAGGGGCCTCGAACCGCTCCCCTCCCACCTTTATCATCCTGCCGTCGGGGAGCTAAGGACACAGAAAGGGGAACAACATTCACACAAGCATTTAGTTGACATCAAGACAGGACTGATGGCTTTCTTCATGCTAGAACACTGCTAGGGAAATCGGAAGGCAATGCTAGGCTAGAGATGGACAATAGACAATGTTTGGACACTGGCAACGTTAAGTAAGAGTCTCTCTCCCTCTGGTCAGATTGAGCCGGCTGACAGACAGGCCTTTTGCAGAGCGTGGCAGAACACTATGTGGGGGAGCATAAAGGGTCCATTGACGGCCCCAGTCTGGAGTCCAGAGGAGGAAACAGAAACCAGGTCAGCACGTTGTGTGGGAGTCTGGGCCGTACAGGAAATGATGTCACGCCCATGGAGGGGGAGTTGTTTCTTCAACGCTACAGTACTGCTCTTGTTCCATCCTCTGTCCTCCGCCTCTCCAGGATTTGGGCAGGGAAACAGGGAGGTGCGCCGCCGCCCGCCACACATATGGAAAATTCCGTCCACTCCCTCTTTACATCACAGGGACTCGCGGTTACTTCGTGGTTCACCGCCAAACCCCTCCCGGCCATCGAACCCAGGTTGCTCAGGGATCTGTGCACGTGGTTGACTTGACTAAGTAACCTGGGGGCATCCAGAGCTTGGTTCAAGAGCTCCTCCCACACTAAATATGGGTTCTACTGTTCTAAAAATATAATCTGATCATCTGCATGATACATTATGTCCACAAGGAGGTAGTGTTACCATATAGATGGTCCTCAAATACAGATGAATCCTTTTATTCTTGGTGTAGGATGGTGTCACCCTTACCAGGTAAGACTTTAATAAGTAGACTCTGGTGGAGTGTTGGGGGTAATGCATTATAAAAGTAATGCATTACATAATCAGATTACTTTTATAACTAACTTTTAACTTTTTCAAATTGGGTAATATTATTACAGTTACACTGTCAAACAACGTGCATTACTTTCAGAATTCTCTCTCTACCGGGCACGTTTCCATGATCCGATCTCAAATTGCTTCCTCATTTAGTTCTCGATCGAGCGGAGAAAGGCTGTTTGGAGAAATGTCATGGCAGCTGAAATATATAGAGGGGTGCACCTCTGATCTTTGCCATTGATCGCTTCTGTGATAGCAAAGCCCTTAGAGGCTTTCCTGTCTAGAGACAAATGTGCCCGCTATACATCTCTATGAACATGCGGCTCGAGAGAAATATTTTGAATGAAAAGATAGGAAATCTGTACAGATGTTTGGCTTACAGTATATATGGCTAATTAAGCTGCCCATATATAGCACAGCATTTGTTGACTAGCACAGGAAAGGAGCGCCACAGATGAAAGGAGAAACTAGTGCTCAAACCTGAGTTAGTAAGTAGCCCATCTTTGGTAGAGCACACGGTTCACCTTGCTCCCTCCGACAGTCAAGCAAACAATTAGATTTAAAAAAAATTTTAAAAAATCATGAAAGTAACAAAGTAATATAACTACTAATATAATGCATTACTTTCCACACAAAGTAATATTATAACGTAACGCGTTACTTTTGTTAAATGTAACTAGTAATATTACTTTTCCAAGTAACTAGTCAACACTGATCTGGTGTGCTGTTTAGATGACAAAGCAGGGTTGGGCTCAGAATGCACAAAACAACAGGAGAAAATATTTTGATTGAAACAGGGTTGTACTACCTGAACTTGTACCATAAGAACACTAATGTCAGCTTTCCATTGTGACCTACTATACAAGAACAAAGGTTGCCACTGGTGGGGGGGGTTGAACAGACATGAGACTGAAAGTGTAGGACTCGACCAGCATGATGACCGTGTAAGTCTGTTACTGACCGTGTAGGACTCGACCAGCACGGTGGTCTCCAACGCCAGCTTCTGCTCCTGCTCGATGTTGTAGCCCACGTAGCACAGCTTCTCCTTCATCATGCGCACCGTCTCAAAGTCCGCCGAATGGTTGAAGGCGTAGCCCCTCAGCAACAGCAGCTGGATGATGGATAAAGGTCAGAGGTCAGGGATGGGTTTGATTGGTTTGCAGAGATCTCATAGTTGTAAAGGACTGCAAAATTCATTTTTGAAGTCTCCAATACGCTTTAAATAGTCACCTTTCCTAATCTCTCCTCACAAATCTTGACATGTAATAATGAACAGGTGTGGTTTACAATCGACTGCTTTCCACTAGCAAGTCATCAGACATACTCATGAGGGAAATAAGCTTATCAAAGGCCCTGTCCGGGAATCAACCCCTAGTTAGTTCCCCCTAGGCTCTTGTGTAGATCTGAAAGAATTAGGCTAGATATGTATAAATATATATGGTAGTAGCTCCAATGGGCAAGGTGCAATATCCATCATAGTGTGTTATTCAGTCTTCTCATATCTACACAAGTACATGCCTAGGGGCTAGGAGTCGTTTCTGGACAGGACATTTTAAGACCAGAGTCACGTGTGGGGAACGAGGGTGTACCTTGATGAGGTAGCGCGTGATATCCCGTCCTGCAATGTCCAGGCGTCGGGTCAGGTGGGGCAGGGAGAAGCCTTCGTACACGGGGCAGATGTGGGTGACACCATCACCAGAGTCCACCACCACGCCCGTCAGTAGACCTAAAAAACACACCAGTGCCAACATCAGAATAGGGCCAGTGAGAAAACACATTTTCCAAAGCCCATATCAACATTATAGACAATTTCTGTCATTACTTGTTTGAAACTGAAAGCTTTTTATTAATTGTTAATACAGATTTCTTGGTGTCAAGAGTTTTCCGTCAGAATATATTGGTTCAATATCAAACAAATGTACAGGCCAATGAAAGGCCTATATCCTACAAATGTGCTGGCCAATGAAAGTCTAGTATAGAACAACAAGAAGTATCCCGCTACCTATTCAACTACGTGCTACTGCATATTCAACCCTCGGCCTGCCACTGAAAGGGTCACACATTAGCACAGCCTGTTTCATCCCTCATTCCGCAGCTGTGTTTATTTTTTCCAGAGAAAGACCTCGATGTTATAAATACAAGCAGTACAGCACAAATGGAAGCACTTTATTTTATGATACTAGGTATTTACTACTGTAGGAAAGGATGTGGTGTCAATGGGTACTTTCTGGTACTTAAAATAATTGGTAACTATCTGGTACCAAATACATTTTTTAATTTGTTTCCCAAAGAAACAAACAAGTAACTCATAGGTTATTATTGTGTAACTACTAACTAATAACCATTTAAAAATGGAAATACCTGGTAATTTCTGTATCGTAAAATAAAGTATAAGCCTAAAATAATTGTTGCTACCAGTGAATTACCGGGTTTAACCTCCTACATGTGTTCTGAAAGGTACTTTAACTTGCAATTCGTTGAGTGAAATCTCAGGTACCCAGTGCTCTCCACTGGGTATGGTGTCCTACCTTCCTTCTAGTGGCCTCATTTTGTTTTAAAGAACCTACCTTGAGCATAGAGTGTGAGCACAGCTTGGATGGCTATGTAAACCCCAGAGAACTGGTAGGTCTCAAACATCACCTAGGAAAGAGGTAGGGAGTGCGAGAGTATGTCACTGGAATGTATAGTCACTGCCAAAAGAAAACAGTAACTTAGCATCTTGCTTATACAAATTACCTTTGTTTTTGCATTTTGCACTGCTAGGAAAACAGCAACAAATCTAACCTCAACTTCCCCTCACAAGGAATAGACCTCCATGTTAATAAACCTGAAGTATAAATGGGTGAAAAGGGGGATAAGGACTTATCCTCACCCCAAAGAGGACAGCCTGAATCATTAATAACAGTGGCTCTGACTGACTCCCACTGAGGAGCTGGTCGCCAGGCAGCAGACCTGGGTTCAAATAGTATTACAAATCTTTCAAATACTTTAGCTGTGGTTGATTGACCTTGCCGGGCGCAATGGAAGCAATGGAGTAGTCCCAAAAGTCCAACGTCCACCCATGTGAAACTCCAGACAGGCTCAATCAAACTAAGTGTTTGAAAGAGTGCAACTACTTGTTGAACCCAGGTCTGCCAGGCAGCACTGCTGCCTTAGTCACAATGACTGGCAAGTTGCAACTCCAAGATAAACCTCCTTAGCGGGAGCGCTAGTGCCTCCTCAGCACAGAGCATCCCTGTTATGACTGATGAATCATTTAAAAAGGCCTTATAAAAGGCCTTACAGGAGATCTCCTCCAGCCGTTCCGGGTACACTCCAGAATACACACACACACACTTTCAAAACTAAAGCATGTTAATGAAATTGTCCTCTGAAAAAGGATTTGGTAGTTGTGGGTTAACAAAACGCACCTCAATGATCTTCTCGCGGTTCTTGGTTGGGTTCATGGGCGGCTCGGTGAGCAGGATCTTGCAGTTGCGCGAGTCGATGTTGAGCTTTCCGGGACCAAAGGTGTAGTCCCACAGGTGCTTCATGTCATCCCAGTTCCTCACGATGCCGTTCTCCATGGGGTAGTTCACCTCCAGCATGGAGCGCAGCTCGCTCGCCTCATCCCCCACCATCAGGTCCTGGGGAGGGAGGGGATAAAGATCCAAGTGTATCAGACTAGGGTCAAAACCAGGGCGTGACTTTTGAAATGAACCCGCCGTTTTGGAGGGACCCCAATAGTGCAGTGGCCGTTGAATATTACTGCAGTGTCCTCCATCCAAGTCATTGATGTACCACAGCAACAAACCGACTCTCAGTGCGGACTGACCACAGCAACAACAACAAAGGAGGCTGGATAGATCTGGGTTAGAAGGTAACAATGTCACAAAAGGACATGCACCATCTTAAAATACACTACCGAAACCAACTTAAAGAACTTCCCTAAAATGAAATGTGCATGCCACAAAACCAAGGGAGGTGTTGGCCAAGGTTAAACAAGTCAAGCATCACTTATTATAGTTGTAGTCAACATCTAGTCATTCTGCGGGCACATTGCTTTTAGTGATCAGACTTCAGTACCGCTCCTCAGCATTGCTCCAGAGAGCAGGCGGTCGAGAAGGATACATTAGATAGAGATTCCAGCCATGCAGTCAGAGCACACTGTTAGTAAAATGGAATCCATTTGGTTAATTGGGCAGATCCTATTGAAAATGTCTATAACCGACAGTATAGGCAAACTCAGAATAGGTCTGACTGTCTACCACCCAACAAACAGGTCATTCATATTGGCAGAGAACTGCATGGGAAAACTCATGCTCAATGTGGTAGTTTCTTATTCTATGAGGAGCAGGCTTGCAGGTTTATTTGAACATGAGAAGCCACAGCAGACATGTTCCCCTTCTCATGATTTCCTCTGCTAAACGCATATGATGATATCTCTACTATTGATATCACGGTTTCCTTCTGCAGCTGCTTGTATGTACACAAGACCATGAATGTCTGTCTTTGTTTTCAGACCACTGTATTTAATGTGTTGATTGAAAAAAGAACGCCGGAACACCATTTCATCACAGAACGCTGGGGAAAGAGTAGTAGAGGGGGAATGAGGAAGCAATGCCAAACAATTGACGGATCTCTCAGAAAGAAAAAGAAAACAACCACTCGTCGATGACGAGCGCAGACATTCCACTGTCCGAGCAGACAGCATAGGGCCCATGAATCTGCAAACATACACACTTACCATCTTTCTGTTATTCTACCTCAACAGGAGAGAAGGAGGAGAGGTGGGAGGAAGAGAGGGATGAGGCAGGGGGTCAGAAGATAGAACAGAGAGAGAGGAGGACAGAGGAGCCAAGGTCAGAGGTGAATCAGTGTGTCCTTCAAAAATCATTGCCGACGCCCACCCATCCGCTCATATAATGCTGCAATGTTATCAATGGGAATTGTTAATGTATAACGCCCTGATAACAAGACTAGGTGCGACATCTAGACTAAATCAACAAATCATGTGCTGCGTCCCAAATGGCACCCTATTCCCTATGCAGTGCACTACTTTTGATCAGGGCCCATAGGGTTCAAAGTAGTGCACTATAGTGCATTTGGGACTCATTCAGCCATGGTAAAGATTAGCCTCTTGTTTCCCATAGGGACCAGTGTGTTGGATTGTTGGATTTTCCAGAGGACACTCAATAGAGGAAATACTTTTTTTAAACTCTCAAATACTGCGAGAAACTAAACTCAAAGGGCCGGTTTACAAAACACAGATTAAGGCCTAGACTAAAGCATGGTCATAATATGAGAATCTCCATTGAAATAGCTTCCTTGTCCAGGATAAGTGTCAGGAAAATTGCTCAAACAAGTTCACAGTGGAGGGACTAAGCAAAATGTAATCTAACATAAAGTAGTGTAAATCAAGAAATGTGCACCATTCTCCATGTAGGTTTCTTCTGAAAAAGAAAAAAAACTTAGAACCATGGTCTACTCCACAAGTCATTGCAGTCATTTCAGAACTTCCCTAAATCTCCACAAAAAAGAAAACGTCATATTCATGAGGGCTATGAAGAAGGTAGCCTAGCGGTTAATACTGTTGGGCCAGTAACCAAAAGGTCGCTGGTTTGAATCCCCGAGCCGGCAAGGTGGGGAAAAAATGCTGTTCAGCCCTTGAGCAAGGCAGTTAACACCCCACCCAACCCACCCCCCGATGACGTCGATTAAGGCAGCCCCCGCAACTCTCTGATTCAGAGGGGGTTAAAAGCAGAAGACACATTTTGGTTGAATGAATTAAATTGTACAACTGACTAGGTATCCCCTTTCCCCAGATGATAGGTACAAATGACAAAACAGGACCCATATTACAATGTATTCTGTATTACACTCAACACACATACTAATACCTATTTCAGACAGAATTCACGGTATGTTAACTGTTGAAAAAAAATATGCAATGTTTATATGACCCCCTTTCAAAACAGGTTATTACCACTTTCTTTAGTAATTACAAAAATACATGTTTTTGTCTAGATATCAAAGGGATCTAACACTCCTGTGAAGTAATCGAGTGAGGTTACCTTGATCTCAATGTTTCCCACTTTAGCTGTGGAGCGAATGATTGGCCTGCCAACCAACGCAGGGAAAATGTGCTCTGGGAAGTTGGAGCCTGCATAGCCGCACTTCACAAACTAGGATTAAAAGGGAGACAAAGGCAGGGTCAGTGACAAACATTATTTTTTGCAAGTTGTTCATAGCACACAGAATGACAAAACAATGAATAGAGATCAATAATAGACCTATAGCCAAATACTAGAAATCTGATCAAAGTAGTTAGCCCAGACTCCATTAAAAGAAAACCTTTTAGCCCAATAACTCTGACATAACCTAGCCTGATCGATAATGCAGTAATGCACTTCACTTCACAGCCTTCTGTACTTTCTGAGTCACATGGTGCTTTATGAGTTGCCCTTAGGTACAGATCTAGGATCAGCTTGCCCTCCCCAAATCCTAACCATTAGTGGGGGAAATGCAAAAACTGACAAAAGACCAGCATCTGGGGGCAACTCCACCCTACTTTGTTTGTGAACACTCTCAGAGGGGTTACAGAGAAAGTTACAGCATTGGTAGTGTTATCATCCCACAATCACTACCTGATGTGCCTGACCTGCAGCATGCTTAGGAAGTTATGGGTTTTTTAGAAAACCTATGCAGGGAATTTCATTCAAACCTGTTAGGTTGTACTGGGCGTTTGCTTCAAGGAATAGCCTAGCACTTGAGTCGATAGAAGTACTTTTCTATGTATGTTTAAAATTCCTTGGGATTTCTTTTTAATGATTCATTACATAATCTTCCTTCTTTCACCTACGTTACATTACATACAGTGCCTTCGAAAGAATTCAGACCCCTTGACTTTTTCACATTTTGTTAGGTTACAGCCTTATTCTAAAATTGATTAAATTGTTTTCCCCCCTCAATCTACACACAATACCCCATAATGACAAAGCAAAAACACGTTTAGAAATGTTTGCTAATTAAAAAATAAAAAATAAAAATAATAATAATATATATATATATATATATATATATAATAATGAAATATCACATTTACATAAGTATTCAGACCCTCTACTCAGTACTTTGTTAAAGCACCTTTGGCAGTGATTACAGCCTCAAGTCTTCTTGGGTATGACACACCTGTATTTGGGGAGTTTCTCCCATTCTTCTCTGCAGATCCTCTCAAGCTCTGTCAGGTTGGATGGAGAGCGTTGCTGCACAGCTATTTTCAGGTCTCTCCAGAGATGTTCGATTAGGTTGAAGTCCGGGCTCTGGCTGGGCCACTCAAGGACATTCAGGGACTTGTCCCGAAGCCACTCCTGCGCTGTCTTGGCTGTGTGCTTAGGGTTGTTGTCCTGTTGGAAGGTGAGCCTTCGCCCCAGTCTGAGGTCCTGAGTGCTCTGGAGCATCAAGGATCTCTCTGTACTTTGCTCCGTTCATCTTTGCCTCAATCCTGACTAGTCTCCCAGTCCCTACCGCTGAAAAACATCCCCACAGCATGATGCTGCCACCACCACGCTTCACCGTAGGGATGGTGCCAGATTTCCTCCAGACGTGACGCTTGGCATTCAGGCCAAAGAGTTCAATCGTGGTTTCATCAGACCAGAGAATCTTGTTTCTCATGGTATGAGAGCCTTTAGGTGCCTTTTGGCAAACTCCAAGCGGGCTGTCATGTGCCTTTTACTGAGGAGTGGCTTCCGTCTGGCCACTCAACATAAAGGCCTGATTGGTGGAGTGCTGCAGAGATGGTTGTCCTTCTGGAAGGTTCTCCCATCTCCACAGAGGATCTCTAGAGCTCTGTCAGAGTGACCATTGGGTTCTTGGTCACCTCCCTGACCAAGGCCCTTCTCCGGGCGGCCAAACTGAGCAATCTTCTTCCATTTAAGAATGATGGAGGCCACTGTGTTCATGGGAACCTTCAATGCTGCAGACATTTTTTTGTACCCTTTCCCAGATCTGTGCCTCGACACAATCCTGTCTCGGCGCGCTACAGACAATTCCGTCAACCTCATGGCTTGGTTTTTGCTCTGACATGCACTGTCAACTGTGGGACCTTATATTAGACAGGTGTGTGCCTTTCCAAATCATGTCCAATCAATTGAATTTACCACAGGTGTTTCTACAATCAAGTTGTAGAAACATCTCAAGGATGATGATCAATGGAAACAGGATGCACATGAACTCAATTTTGAGTCTCATAGCAAAGGGTCTGAATACTTATGTAAATAAGGTATTTCAGTTTTACATTATTAATACATTTGCAAAAATGTATACAAAAAACAGTTGCTTTGTGATTATGGGGTACTGTCAGTAGATTGCTGATTATTTTTTTAATTTTAGAATAAGGCTGTAATGTAACAAAATGTGGAAAAAGTTAAGGGGTCTGAATAATTTCCGAAGGCACTGTAAATGATCTTCTCATTCTCAACCTTCCGGTAATAAGAATAAAATAAGTGTATAACATGCATCATCAAGTAGACATGACATTATCAGCTCAGAGAGGAAGGGGTTACTCAAAGACAAGAATTAAGACAGAAGGTAGTCTACAGTGTCCAGCGTGTCCCATTTACACTCACCGAGCTATGAATAGCTATCAGGCTGTTTTATTCGAAGTGTGAACAAAGGCTGTAAGCAGCATCGTTTATTTGTGGTAGGTAGCTGGAGAGAGACTGATTCAGCTAACCACTGAATGGAACATGGCTAAAAAAAAAATGTAGACAGCAGAAATAGATAGTATTTAAGGTAAAATGGTGGAGGTGAAAACAATTAATTGTAATATTTGTCAATTTCAACCGGATGACTCATGTTTACAAATATATTTTACAAGAGAGTTGCAATAGATCTGATAACTCCTTACATGGAAGAATGGTTTCTGACTTCCTCACTGTACAAGAATGAGGCATGCGCATTATCTACTGCTCGAGACAAGTTTAGTTGGTTAACTTGCCTTGTTCAACAGTTCATAGCAATACTTTAATTGTAATACTTGTTTGTTGCTGCCTGGTTTAGTAAAACTATATGCGCAAATCCTCATCCAATTACGCAACAGACAATGCAACAATGTAGCAGTGTAAAATACTAGCTACAAGTTTGAAGAGGTTTCGTTGAGGGCGGGGCTACATATGCTGGATCATCATTCTTTGTGAACAACACCAAACTGTATCTAAACATTTGGAGTTACTGAATAAAAAGCAACAGATCACCTCTTTTCCTTGCCCAATTCATTGCAATTAACGATGATGCTGGCAAGTTCTTACAGAGAGCCCTTATCTTGTTAGTTTGAGCTAACAATCAAATTGAAGCAAGGGATGGTAATGATGTCTGATGAAGAAATAGTTGATGTAGCTAAATGTGGCAGAACACGATATTTAAGTGATTTGTAACGTTGAATGCTAGCTATTGAGCTTGCTGGCCAGCCGCCTAACTAGCTCGAGACGATTCGAGTTCGCAATGTCAGCACGAGCAGCCGACAGCTGCGATAACAATATTTATGGCTACTGATTCACGAATTCTAGTAAACAATCGGTACACTAAACATTCCACCGACCGGTGTGAACCTTGCCACCTCTAATTGACAGATGCACCAACCTCAATGAATGCATAACTAATTGACAAGCTGACAGACAAATTCCTTTGACTACACACCCAGACCGTGGCTACACTAGCTAGCAATGAAGCGAGCTACTTCCTGTTCCTCCCCATCTCGTCTCCTCTGCCAAAATGCACAGCACAAAAGCCGGAACGCTCATAATTTGACGATAGAACACGGTCACGGTTTGTAAACTTACCCCGGTCCCATTGTCACAAACCACCACTTTCCTTCCCTGGCTGTCCATTTTCTCGGAATACAGAAACCAGCAGCCCGCCTTTGCACAACTTTCTTCGTCAAGGCGGAAAACACCACCCCGGCTCTAGCAAAGGGCTTCTTCCGGAATGTATGACACATACCCATATTAGACCCACACCTATCAGGGTAGAGATAGAAAGAAATTCAGCCAATTACATATGGCAACGCCTTTCCATTCACGTTTCTATTCGACAATCACAATGATTGACAGTGATGTGTCAATCAGAATTTTGAAATATCCATAATGCAAGCTTTATCAATAAATGTAGGTGGTGGCCTGCGGGTCCAACGCCGAAAACAGTGAAGTTAATCGATCTACGTCGAGAGAGGAGCAGATTTTGTTTTTATATGACAATGAAATATTCTTATGATTACTTTAAAATGTGTTAGCAATTGCACATTTTCTCAGAAAAAGTACATTTCAACTATAAAGAATGATAGAGGCCTCTAGTGGCCAACTTCATTAGCTGATCCCTCCTGGTGACAATGTTGGAGTCATGTCCAACCGGGTCATGAGGGATCCGAGAATGGCGCTGCAATGGATAGCTGCCATTTTATGGGCTCCTGATCAATTCTGCAGGGTTTTTTTGCGCTGATCATAATGTTTCCGATGACCAAAAAGAGCTTCTGGACATCAGAACAGCGATATCACTAACCTCGATTTGGATGAAGATTTCTACTTCAACGAGTCAGAGACGCAGGACATACTGCTCAACCGAACCAGGCCCTAATCCCTGAGACTTGTAAAATAAAAAAATGGATCTAGAGGCCGACGTGCAGGCACCCTGACAAAACTATGTTGGCGAGTACATAAACCGCCTCTACCCTCCATTCTATTGGCGAACGTACAATCACTGGAGAACAAACTAGACGAGCTCCGTTGAGTTAATTATTTTTATTTATTTATTATTTTTACAGGGCCAGTGCACATTAATCAACGTTTCAGTAAAAGTGGCGGTTTTAGCCAGCCGACTCATTTTCAACCGCAGTTAGTTCGAGACTAACCTATCAACGGGACCTGTTTCTCAGAGTGGTGGCAGAACCAGGACATGGATAATATACATCTGGCTGGTTTTTCTATGCATCGGCAGAACAGAACGACAGCGTCTGGTAAACTCAAGGGGGGAGGTGTGTGTCTCTTTGTTAACAACAGCTGGTGCGCGATCTCTAATATTAAGGAGTTAGAATATCTCATGATAAGCTGTAGACCATACTATTTACCAAGATAGTTTATCTATTTACCAAGAGAGTTTATCTATATTTTTCATTGCTGTCTATTTACCACCACAAACCGATGCTGGCACTAAGACCGCACTAAGCAAATAAGAAAATGCTCATCCATGCTCGCCCCTGGTGGCAGGTGATTTGAATGCAGGAAAACTGAAATCCGTTTTTTACCTAATTTCACCATGTCACCTGTGCAACTAGAGGCAAAAAAACTCTAGATCACCTTTACTCCACACACAGAAACGCATACAAAGCTCTCCCTCGCCCTCCATTTGGCAAATCTGACCATAACTCTATCCTCCTGACAAACTAAAACTAAAACAGAAAGTACCAGTGACTCGCTCAATACGGAAGGGTTCTGATGAAGCGTGTGCTAAGGAACAGCACTGTTTCGCTAGCACAGACTGGAATATGTTTCCCGGGATTCATCCGATGGCATTGAGGAGTTTACCACATCAGTCACCGGCTTCATTAATAAGTGCATCGACGACGTCGTCCCCATAATGACAGTACGTATATATCCCAACCAGAAGCCATGGATTACAGGCAACATTTGCACTGAGCTAAAGGCTAGAGCTGCCACTTTCAAGGATCTGGACACTAATCCGGACGCTAGTAAGAAATCCCGCTACGACCTCAGACGAACCATGAAACAGGCAAAGTGTCAATACAGGACAAAGATCGAATCCTACTACGCCAGCTCTGACGCTTGTCGGATGTGGCAGGGCTTGCAAACTATCACAGATTACAGCCGCGAGCTGCCCAGTGACGCGAGCCTACCAGACGAGTTAAATGCCTTCGCTCCGAGGCAAGCGACACTGACCCATGCATGAGAGCACCAGCTGTTCCAGACGACTGTGTGATCATGCTCTCCATAGCCGATGTGAGTAAGACCTTTAAACAGGTTAACGTTCACAAGGCCGCAGGACCAGACGGATTACCAGGACGCATACTCAGAGAATGCTCTGACCAGCTGGCAAGGGTCTTCGCTGACATTTTCAACCTCTCCCTGACTGTCTGTAATACCTACATGTTTCAAGCAGACCACCATGGTCCCTGTGCCCAAGAATGCCAAGTTAAACTGTCTAAATGACTATCGCCCTGTAGCACTCACATCTGTAGCCATGAAATGCTTTGAAAGGCTGGTCATGGCTCACATCAACACCATCATCCCAGACACCCTGGACCCACTACAATTCGCATACCACCCCAACAGATCCACAGATGTCACAATCTCTATTGCACTCCACACTACCCTCTTCCACCTGGACAAGTGGAACACCTATGTGAGAATGCTGTTCATTGACTACAGCTCAACGTTCAACACCATAGTGCCAGCCAAGCTCATCACTAAGCTAAGGACCCTGGGACTGAACACCTCCCTCTGCAACTGGATGTTGGACTTCCTGACGGGCCGCCCCCAGGTGGCGAGGATAGTCAACAACACATCCGCCACGCTGACCCTCAACACGGTGGCCCCTCAGGGGTTGGTGCTTAGTCCCATCCTGTACTCCACATTCACCCATGACTGCGTGGCCGCGCACGACTCCAACACCATCATTAAGTTTGCTGACGACACGACGGTGGTAGGCCTGATCACCGACGACGATGATACAGTCTATAGGGATGAGGTCAGAGACCTGGCAGTGTGGTGCCAGAACAACAACCTCTCCCTCAACGTCAGCAAGACAAAGGAGCTGATCGTGGACTACAAGAAACGGATGGCCGAGCACACCCCCATTCACATCGATGGGCTGTAGTGGAGCGGGATGAGAGCTTCACGTTCCTCAGTGTCCACATCACTAAGGATCTATCATGGTCCACACGCACCAACAAACTTCCTTTAGATTTTTTTTATTATTATCTGTTTTTCCATGTATGAGCAGTAAGGCCAAATTCAATGTTTCATCAAATAATATATTTATTTGTTTTATCCCCCCTAGCTTAAACTCTAGCTAGTGTATTAAGACTAACTAACGTTAGCTCCCAAAAACTAAAATAAGATAAATATCCGTTTTCGAGTTCACTTGAAATATGCAGCATGCAATATGAATGGTCTTGTTCATATGAACTCTGTTGACCTTTTAGACAATTTATTGAAAGCTAGCCAATGTTACAGTTGACTAGCCGAGCCAGCTAAATATTGTAAACGTCAATGTGCCTGCTCAGGAAGCTAGTGTTTCGTTAGCTATCTCTGTCTGTTTTAGCATGATTGTCTCATTTCAAGTAACTTGCTGCAGGGTAAAGAAACATGCAATCATATACTGTGCGTAGAAACCCAAATAAAAGCATGTAGATAGGAAGATGTGTGTCATGTATGCTAGAATGGAGGTTTTAAAATGACAGCTGCATATATGCATATTAACCAATACATAAGGCATAGCCTACACATATAGAATACCTTGCAATACAATACTCTCTAAAAACAGTTAGTACAATGTGCTCTGCAATACGATAACCAGTTTGATTTCTAAATCAGATTAGTTCTCAAATAGCAGCTGCCCAATGCCATGGTCGGCATGCAAAATGTTGGATGCATTGGAATTGAAGGTATGGAGAATGATAAAGAGTCTGTATGATTATAGAAAAAGCAGTCTGGGAAATTAATGATTGAGTTTCAAATACTAAATATTCAGTGAATGTGAGCATATGTAGGTGGTTTAAATGATTAACTTTCCTACTAACCTTCTAAAAGTTGACGGTGTCAAAATCTTGCCAATCCATTCATTATTCTACTAACTATGACTGAGTGTGAGACATGTTTCCCGTAATGTACATCATGCATATACTGTACATTGGAACAGAGAACTCCATCACAAATAGTGTTTCACCATTTATTGAGTACGGAGACAAATAGCAAAGGTGTCTCAGGCAGTATTTGAAGTATCTAAATATAGTGTAACCTACCAATCAATGTATATCAAGTGCCATGGAGTGCACAATCTTACAATGTTGTAGTCCATAAATGAGAGCTTTACTATCTATGCCAAACGCTTGGGCCTCAGATGGAGACTGTAAAACTGTCATCAATGCATGCTTCAGTATTCCCCCTTCTCTCTTGGATCATTTGTGTGCCCAGGCCCCATAGGCATGTCGAAAGGATCCCCATGTAGCTGACCGATGTAGAGAGAGACAAGTGCCTTAGCAGAATGCAATCTAAAGCTTTTGTGGTCCAGAGACGAGAACTTTACCATCTATGGCAGAAGCCCGAGCTCCTGACAGGGATAATATAATTCTCACCACTGCATGCTCAAATAGTAAAATAATCTGGTTTGTCACCTGTTAAACTACATTGAATGTAGTATTTCAGATGCTAAAACAAGCACTTGTATCTGTAGTTGGTGTTCTTCAACTCTAAAATGCACTAGACTGTAACAGGCAAAAGCATATGTAGTCCCCATGTCTAAATAGTGACGGCAGGGTTAGTTCAAACTGCAGGACTTGGTGAATAGATCATGGGAGACAAATGTGAGTGACAGTAATGAATAAAGACACTCGAACAAGCACGTGCATCTGTAGTGGCTGTTATTCAACTCTAAAATCACTAGACTGTGTAAGACAAATCCACAATGAAAAGACAACAGGCAAATGCACGTGTTCCTAATGTCTAAATTGTGACAGAGGGGCTAGTTCAAACTGCAGTAGGATGGTTCTCCTCACAGGTGAGTGAATCAGTCCATGCTGCACTTGGTTGATCTCTGGGAGCAGGACATCCTGACAGTCTGAGGCAGGGTGCTCTGCAATCATCCTACTCCAACTATTGACAGGGATAATGTGGCATTTCTTATTTGTCAGTAATGAAATTAGTGGGTAGTGCCTTGATGACTGTATTAGCTTTGTCCAATAGACTTTTG